ATGTGCCCATAGTATGTAAGACAGAGCTTCAAAATTCTGGCCTCCAAGGAAAAATTTTGTTTCTCCAAGACAGACCTGTTTGTTCCCTGGCCATACCAGGGTATGTTTAATACTCTTCTCCAGCACCACCAAAGACAAAGGCATGGATTCTTATTCTGTCATCCTTAGTCATTATCTAGCATTCTGATGTACAGCAAGTAACAGTGAAGACTGTGGCCTGAACTAGGTGGATCTTAGTCTCTAAACTGACATCTTTGCTTCTCAGTACTCTGGAGAGGTCCCTGACCACAGATTTCCCCCATGCAATTCATCTTTTGATTTCTGAAGTACTATCCATTTTACAGACGATGTTGATGCTGATGCTTCTGGTCCAGGAACCACACTTTAGACTGCAAGAGAACAAACAGATCCTGGAGAAAATGAAACCGGGATGCATCTGGAAGGCCAGGATGATGAAACTCTGTCTCACATACTTTGGGCATGTTATTGGGAGGTGCCAATCTTTGGAGAAGACCATCAAGTGTAGAAAAGTAAATGGTCTGCTTAAAGAAGAAGACCCTCATAAAGGTAGATTAACCCATTGGCTGTAACAATGGGTTCAAGGGTATCAGAGATGGCAAGAAGGGCACAGAATAGGGTGGGATTCAGATCTATTGTTGTTGTTTTTTGTAGTTGATTTGACGACATGTAACAGTAACAGTATGTGCTAGAGATCTCATCTCCTTCTATGGGGAAGAAATTAAGACCCTAGAGCTAATTCTTAAGATTTTAAAAATTCTATTCACAATTGAAGTAATAAGAAATTAGCTCTTGTTTATTTACTGAATCTCTGATGCCACAGCCTCACCTCAGCAATTAATCACACACTGACAAAGAAGCTAGTGGTCATGCTCACAGGTCATGTGGGAAAGCTGCCAGAGAGCAGCCAGGTTCGCCATTGGAGAAGAATGGGGCACTTGAGAAGAGACAAATATTCCATCAGGCAATCCTTTCATATACATGACTCTTGCATGACTTTCTCTTTTCACCAATACAAAGTCAACATAACCACTCAGAAGGGTTGACCAAAGGTCTAGCACCAACCAAAGCAAAGAATGAGAGAGGCAGTGGAGGCAAATAAATATGGACAAATGGACAAATAAGTAAATTCAAACCATTAAAAAACCACAACACTAGTAAAGTGCAAACTGCCCTCAGTAGCACTCGGCACCTCATGGAGAAGTTAAGATACATGTATACTTTCCCATCTGAGAGACAAATCAACTAGCCAAGTCACACTTGCTCACTCCTTGCTATCAAGTCAGAACTAACTCCTAGCTGACCCTCCACTGGGTTTCTGGGGCTATAAATTGCATGGGAGGAGGTTGCTCATCTTTTTCTTTGAGGATCTGCTGGTGAATTTGAACCGCGAGAGACACTCAGACTTTGTCCTAGTAGAGCAAGCTAATTCGATGGAAGGGAATATGGCACAGAGATGGAATGCTCTGGAGAGGTGGTCTTGGGGAACTAAGAAGATCTGGCTAGGCTGTCTGGAGGAAGTAAAGCAGGCTGAAAAACTAGGACGCATAGGAAGGTTCTGAAGCAACAAAAGAGTGAGGAAAACAGAAAAGTAAGGCTGGATCCACAGGCCGAATAGAGAAAAGAATTCCCAGGGGGACTTAAAAACCTGTCTTTCTATTCCTGCCAGTAGACAGTCCATCTGGACTTTCCCATCCCTGGGTCTTGATTTCCTCATTTGAGAAATGAGTGTTTGGGCTCCATGAGAAGCTTTCTCATTTTGTCCCATTGTAAAGCAGCCCCAGGCAGAAGAGAGGATGAACTAGCTCCACTCCTCACACAGTTTCACTTCCAGAAATGATTTGAAATGATTCAACAAGAAACTCTGCAAAAGGCTCTTTCCACTTACACACTGGATAATTGAATAGAAAAGAGAAAGAAGCCAGTTAGTATACAGAGTCAAAGGGTCTATGTTAATCAGATTAGATTCTGGAAGAGCTTGAAATGCAAAAAGAGGCATTTAAACCAGTCTCCACACTCATTGTTGTCCAGTCTCAACTCATAACTGACCTTCCATTGGTTTTCCAAGACTGTACATCACATGGGAGGACAATGCTTATCTTTCTGCCTCAGATCGACCGGTGGGTTTGAACTGCCAGAGGAGCACAACCTTTGGGTTTACAGTTCAGCCCTCTATGGTCTATGTCACCAATGTGAAACACGCTAAATTGATTAGACCTGATTCTGGAATTGCTTGAAATGCAGAGAAGAGTTTAAACAAGGAGGATGAGGAAATAGACCAACTGGGGGTTTGTGAGTTGAAGGGTATCACAGGGACAGAAGGGAAATCTGGCTCACAGGCTACTAGAGAAACAGAATGATCTGAAAATCTTAACTCCTCAGAAGGTTCTTAGTGAAAACAAAGGGCAATTTTCCCCCTTGTCAGCTCTTCCCACCCAGGACACTACTATATGCAAAAATGGTAACTGTAAGACAAACTTTTTTTTTCCACTGCCCTTCTCAACCCCACAGGACTTCAAGTAGACCAGCACTTCAAGCAAAGCCTTTTTTAATTTATTTTTTTTTAATTTTTCAACACCCACAGCTTCCATTCAATAATCAAAAGTTTTCCATTTTCATCAAAGAGGCTGAACACAGAGGGGTGGGAAGCAACTCATTCTCATCAGTGCTGGGTAGATTACAGAGCCTCCTAAGACCCACTCACTGTCCATGGCCACCAGAGATCTTCCAAAATTCACACTCAAAAAAAGACTGACTCACTCAGCCCCGTTACCAGAACAAAAGAATGTGAATACACAATTCTTCGGAAACCAAGAACAACTTGGGACCAAGGTTATCTCAGACTCCTCAACTACGAAATAAATTCATCGTCATCACTCCAATTAGCCAAAGAAAACAATTCCCGTCTTGCTGCCTCGTCTATTTCCAGGACCTATGATTTTATGGATTCACTGGGAAGAGGATTTCTATCAGCTCCTGGTGTGTAACCTAACTCAGAGGATGCTCAGACATTTGGGAGCAAGGGCAGCAGTGGTAATAATTCAAGCTTAACATTAGACACAGGGCATTTCCTTAGGCAAGTTTGGGAATCATTAACAATTCTCAGCGATACACCAAAACTTGAGTGGGAAAAAGAGGAGTGTTAAAAAGAACTGACTAGGGACCACTGGTGGCCCTAATGACAAGAAGCTGCACTGCAATCCCAGAGGTACGCGGTTCGAATCCACCAGATGCTCTGCTAGAGAAGGAGGGGCAATCTCCTCCTATACCAGTCAGATCCGATTGGATAATAAACACACACAAAAATAATAAAATTAAAATAAAAATAAAAAGAACTGACTACTTGAGATAATATCAAATGATGTTTTCAAACAGCCACTTCTGGAAATAGCAGCTATGCAGTGATTTCTATTTTAAATGGTATTTTGAAATGGATTGTCAGCCAGAGAAAGTCCCTGCTCCGGTCAATAATAATCAGAAATTAATAACCCTAAAGTGTAACCTGGCTCTGTTCTCTCAGAGAATTTATCTACTGCATCTACTCAAATTCCAGACATGGTTCAAAGGCTGGGTTGGGATGTTTAGCAGAAATAGCCCAATGGCATCCACTACAGTATATTCCCATTTATTTAGCACAACATTATTCCATCTTCTCATCATTATAATTATAAATTCTGGCATCTGTAGCCCATGTTACAGCTAAGAAAAATGAAGACATCAGGATTTGTTCAAGTACCCAAAACTAGTAAGAAATAAGGTGGAGACAAATTGAAAGCACTTGATAAAGCGTACACAGTCTAACACCAAGAAGACTGGATACAGCATGGACTTTGATCAAGAAGATATGCACGCCTAAACATCCAGGTTCTTTTGTTAAATAACATTTGTGACTAGGGCCTTGGTAATTTGTATCCTCTCTGAGCCTCAATTTCCCCAACTGTAAACAAATATATGTCTTTCCTCAGAGGTTGGAGTAGGGGCTGGGAAGTTAGACAATGTATGTAAAACTTCTAGCATGACGCCTGAGACAGTATAAATTCAACCATAGAAGTCACATGCACACATGCGCCATAATACAAATACGCCCACATGCATATAGCACACATACATACAGTACAACCTCATGAAATACCAACAATATACACACCGCATATTCACCTCACATATATACCACACAGAACACATGCCACATTCCGTACCACACTACCTCCCTGCTTCCATTCTCACTGCCAATTGCTTCCCCCTTTCAAGAGTGTTGTGGTAGATTCAAGTTTCTCTGTAAGTTTAACAGATCCCAAAACACGCTGAAGGATTTTTATTTGGTTTGGTTTTGTTTTCCTTTCTGTTGTTGCTGTTCAGAAGATCCACATTATCAAATTCCTATTCTGTGACAGTATCCTGAGCTTGCCTCCGGTTGGAGAAGTCTTCACATCTGAGGACTAGTCAAGTATCTTGTAGCATTTCCAGCTCTCTCCAGGATCTAACATTATCTACTCAAGCACTTTTGAGTCATTCCACTGAAGTCCAAGAAAGCTGACCCTCCCCAGCCCCAGCAAAGAGACATTATCTGAGACAGGCGTCCAAGCAGCAGGCCTCGCTGAAGAGAATGTAACGCATCTCGAGCAGGAAGGCGTTTTGTGGCTGAGACTAAGTGAAACAGAAGTAGTTTTGCTCACACACAGAAGGGGAACTGTCATTTTCCTATTCATCCTCTGACATCAGCTACCGTCTCTTCAGTGACGGTTTCTCTGCAATCAAATTAATCCTGGGCGATGAAAAATGAACCTCTCCCCCACCCTTGCTGCTGCCTTTCGCTTCACGCCCCCAGAAAAGGGTTTCTTCACAAGGCTGCCGGTGAAGGTTTTTTTCCAAGTCACATGATCCAGGATGCAGGGGAAGAATCCTTCTTGGAACAGAGATGGGCCCAGAACCAACTCAGATGAGGAGAGATAAGGTGTGATGTGGGGAAGACTATATAAAGAATGGACCCTCGGCTGCAGCAAGTACCCAGCAGTGGGGCCCCTTCTCAAGACACAGCTATGCATATGCCAGCGGGCCCCGTCTCCAGCCACTTGGGGATCAGGACCCAGAGTTATTTCTGCTTCACCACGGCTACCCTGGCATTGTGCCTCATCTTTGCTGTGGCAACCATTATGGTGCTGGAAGTTCAGAGGGCGGTAAGTGGCCTCCTTTATTTTCATTTTCCGATCTGATTTATGTCTACTTTATCCCAGACAGAGTTTTGAGAATAAACTAAAAGTTTGTATGACAGGAAAACAGAATATGTACATTATGTAAAGAAGGAGAGAAAAGAGACTAGTATTTCACTCTCTGAAAGAATTTTACCATTTGGGGGGGGAGGGGGAATCTGTAGCACCATCATCTCAAAACTTACTCAGGTTTGCAGTGCACCAAAAGAATAGAGGAGAGTTATGAGCCTTCAGAAATTAAGATGTAAATCTTGTTGAGCCAGAGAACATTATCAAGGAAGGAAGCAGTAAAGAAACCAGACAATATGTTTACACAACTTGTTATCATGTCTTCAAGACCTTGAGACCAGATTTTAATGTTTCATATAGTCTATCTAATGTTCCTGAAGTGTTAAGAGGCCTCATCAACTACCAAGAGTTTTTAATAAGGAGTTAAGGCTCCAAAGCCAAAAACTCTCAAGCAAAGAGGCAGGTGTAAAGACCCAAGTTCCTTAAAACATTGGGTATCTCAGAGTTAGAGCCTTCAAAGTAAACTGAAAGCTTGCTCACAAGCCATGTCTTTGATGAAGTTACAGTGTCAGAGGAAATGGTGAACAGAGAGGCCCAAAGGAGAAACATTTGTAGACTCCTCAGAAGGCTAAAACCAAAAAACAACTGTGAGGTACACACTGTACAGAGTCAAATCTATCTCCAGACATTTGCTTTGTTTGAAATAAATGTTAAGCTTTGTATCTGAAAACGGAAGATGTGAGAAAGGAGGAAGTTTCTTCATACTTCAGAAAATGAGTATTTACAGAGGACTCACTTGTATGTATTTTGTTGAAAACAGGCAACTGACAGTACATATTGCTTATGGATTTTCTTTTTAATTCAGTAAAGAGGAACTGTTTTTACTCTTAAAGAATAGGTAATTTAAGAGCATAAACCAACCCCCAACCTTACTAAAGTAAAAACTCTTTACATTACTTCGCATTCTCTCTTCTTTATGGTAAGACAATCCTAGCAAATTGTTTCTGTTTCTTTGGTCATCTTAAACTTTTCAATTATTACGAAGAACTTGACATTAAAAGATTTTGTTGTCCATTTCTCAAATACCATAAAATTGAGGCATTTTAATGGAATTGTGGATTGAATTATTAATAAAAGTGAAACAAAATAATCATTAACATCTTACATAGATAGAACTTTTTAAATTATAATTCATTAAACTAATCTACTTATAATTACAATATTTTTAAGTTAATATAGGGCACATTTTTTTCTTATAAGGCTCCATAATTTTTTAAAAATATTTTTATTTGGTGTGAACCAGAAGAGTGACATAAGAATGACCAAAGAAAAGAAAGTCAAGTATCTTTTAAGGAGTTAAGGGGCAATGATAAAAATTGAACAGAAAGGAAGGAAAAATAAAAGGGGGGAAAGAAAAAAGAAAGGAAGAAAGATAAAGTCAAGATGATGAAGGAAGTTGAAAGAGGGAGGTAATAATGATATATAAAGCTAGAGACAACTCCAGCAGTACTCACTTCAAACACCCTATAGTTGATTTAATTCACTCTCACAATACAACTACAGAGGATCTTTCTTCCTCACCTTCACAGAAGGGAAAAATAAGAAACAGAGGAGATAAGATTTGGCCTAAATCTCATCCTTAGAAAGTGATTATGACTGCTTGATTACCATCAAGGGAGAACACTACAATACAGCTACAGAAACACCTAGAAATTTCTTTTCCATCTGACTTTCAGAAGATTTCTCCTTGACTTGCGCCTTATGATGGAAAAAAAAAGGATATGGCTCATGATATAATCACATGGTTTCGTGTGCTGTGATTTCCCAGCCCAAGAAAAATCAGTTACTTTCTTAAAAGTTAAGTCTTGTGATATCAAAAGTAATGTGATAGGGTAGGTAAAGGAGACAGGAAAGATCCGGTGTGAAAAACAATGTATACGAACTTTGTAAGTAAACCACTATAAAATAAAAATTGTATTCAAATTTAAAAAGTAATGCGATTTTAAAAAATGCTAAGTAATTTATGAAAATAATTTCTCATAAATTGTTCAGACATTAGGTATTGCAATAATTAAGAAGGAAGAGAGAGTTCTTGAGTTCTTGAAGCCTTTCTACAGGAAGAGGGGATGTGGTTTAGGACAGATAACGGAGTGCTGGTGGTGTAGTCCATAGAGAATCAATGTGCTTCTAACCCAAAGACCAGAACTTTCTGGTGGTTCTAACCCACTAGAAGTTCCAAGAGAGAATGATGGGCTCTTTCCATGTGATTTACAACCTCTGAAACCCAATTCAAGGTCAACTTTATGAATCAGTTCCCATTCAATAGAACAGGGAGGGTGGAACTTAGACAAATGGAAGGCTCTCACAGGACCTCTGGGAGGCTGGGGAAATAAGTGGAAAAGACCCAAGGAATTGAGGTTTGAAAGAGAAATAGCATTTGACCCAGCTATCCCACTACTGTGATATATACTGTCAGTGCAAAATTTTCAATAAAAGACAGCAAAGACAAAGAAAAGGGAAATGTCTCTTATGTCCTTGAAAGTTAAAAGGTTACATAAAAAGATGGGCTTCTAGGTTGACTCTGATTTCCCCAATGAGTGCAAGCACTTAACAGGCTTTCACTACTAATCAAAAGGTTGAAGGTTTGAGTTCATCCAGAGGCACCTGAAAAGAAAGGCCTGGCAACATGTTTCCACAAAGTATCATCCTTTGAAAACCCTGCGGAGCACAGGTCTATTCTGACATGGAGTCACGATGCACTCAGTGGCAAATGTTTTGTTTATTTGTTTTTATCATGAGGTCCCTAATCTTGGAGGTACATCTGCATTTGAAAATTAAAGATGGGGTTTATTTAGTCTCTGGAAAGATCCCTGACCATTCCAAATGATTAGAGCAGGGCTCAAGAGCATTATATTATACCTTTTCGAGAAGAGAAAGTATCTATTTGCTTTACCATCACAAACAAAAGGAATTTTCATTTATTCTCGCAATATCATTCTACTAGTCCACCAACAATGAACTGAGTACTTGCTTGGGGGTAGTGGTTACTCCTGCTGCTACTGATGTGGTTTTTTTTTTTGTTTGTTTTTAAGTTCATACAAGTATGGGAGTAAGTTGAAATAGCCTATGATGTTTCCCTCTACCCAAATTGCTCTTTATACCTAGCATTCATTCAAAGTATCAATCTAAAAACACACTTAATAAGAATATTCTTAGGAACAAGACTTGTGCTAAACTATGAGGGGAGAATGCACGTAGGCCAGACAGGCCTCCTGTCTTCTGGGAATTCTTTCAAGTTAAAGAGATAAGGCCCAAACACCAAGAGTTTACATTCCAGACAGACTGTGCCAAATGCCATAGGCCAGAAAAATAAGGAGCTTCTACTTGGGCTGAAAAGCAAGGGTGTCAGTCTAGAGACTAAGGTGCAACTGATCCAGGCCGTGGTCTTTACAATTACTTACTATGTGCTATGCATTAGAGAACTAGATAGTGGTCAAGGATGACAGAAGAATTGATGCCTTTGAGTTGTGGTGCTGGAGAAAAGTTTTAAACATACCATGAACTGCCAAGAGCACTAATAGGTCTGTCCTAGAGAAGGTGAAACCAAGCCGTTACTTGGAGGCAAGGATTTTAAAACTCCAGCTCACATACTTTGGGCATATATCCAGGAAGGACCAATCTTTGGAGAAGTATATCATACTTGGAAGGGTAGACGGACAGTGCAGGAGGAAGACCCCAGATGAGATGGATAACTGAGGTAATAAGGGTAGGTGTGTCAGAGACAGTGAGATTGGCTAAGGATAGATAAGGCAAGGGTTCAGAACTATTGTGCATACGGTCACTATGAGTTACAGTTGATTGGACAGCACATAACAATAACAACTTGAGATAAGGTTTGTAGAAATGCAGGGACAAAATCAGATCTCAAGAATTAAAAGATACCTTTTCGTGCCCTAAGTTTCATTATGAAAATTTCGAGACTTACCAAATAGTACAATGATAGAAACCTACTTAAATTTGCAGTGTTAAGGTTTTGCCAAAGTGTTAATGTGTTTGTTTTCTATATATACGTTGCCGATATCATCACTGTTCGACATCAATTACTTCAGCAACTCTACCCTGATTTTTTTATTATCAGCTAGGATAGTCAACATTCATTCCTTCGATAATAATCCTAGTACACAGCCAGCACTTAAACGTCATGATTTGACTGGAAATGTTTCTTATAGCTGTTTGTTTGTTTGTTTGTTTGTTTGTTTGTTTGTTTGTTTGTTTGTTTTGGGACCCAATCTCACTTGAAATAGTGCATTTGGTTTTATCTAGTGTAATCTACAGTGTTGGTATTTAGAGTGACTCAAACTTCCACACCAGATCTACTGTCCCTATGGTCTTGGTTTCTCAGTATTAACAGAAATACCACAAGCGGTAATTTCAAGAAACAGTAACTTATTTTCTTATTGTGCCTGAGGCTAACAGGCTGAAGTCAGGCTTCCAGCTCTATGAGATCTGTGTGATATCTCTCTCTCCCTCTCCCTTTCCCTCTCCCTCTCTGTCTTTCTGTCTCTCCATCTCTGTCTCTCTGTCTCTCTTCCTCTCTCCCCTCTCTCCTTCTTTATGTCTCTCTCTGACTCTCTTCCTCTCTCTCCCTCTCTCCTTCTCTCTGTCTCTCTCTGTCTCTGTCTCTCTTCCTCTCTCTCCTTCTCTCCTTCTCTTTGTCTCTCTCTGTCTCTGTCTCTCTTCCTCTCTCTCCTTCTCTCCTTCTCTTTGTCTCTCTCTCTTTCTTCCTCTCTCCCTCCCTCCCTCCTCATCCTTGCAGTTCCAAACTTGAAGATGATTGTGTCCTCTGATAGTGTTCCTCCCTGTATCTGCTTTCCTTTGTTTTTCTATATTTCAAACGTGAAAAGCTTAAAACACATCCTACACTGAAAATAACCTCAAAGAGAGAAGCCTTGTTCCCC